AGGGCATTGAGTAAAAATGCCTAATTAGGTACCTAGACAGACAGTATCCGCTGCTGGTAGGTTTGGCGATGGCACCTATATCCTGACAAGAAGGGAAAAGAAAAGAAAAAAGAGTCAAGTAAAGGATACCCAAAACAAACCAAATTGTTTAATGGAGATGGAGAGAAAGGAAAAAAGTTGGTGGAGGAGGAGGGGGGGCGTGTTGCCAACAACACCCAAAGTTGCAGCTTGCAGTCCCCCAAGTACAGTAGTAGGTACAATTCTCGCGATGGGGAATCCGAATAAGAAAACGTGTTGTGCTATTGGCGCGCTGCAGTTGGCCGTTCGGAGCAATCTCCCTCAGGGGACACAGCCAATCAGAGGGGAGGTCTGACAGGCGATCCATGCGCTTCGAAATTGAGGTACTTGTTGTTCTGCAAAGCCTTCTGCAAGGCATCAGGTACCTCTGGCCCATCTGCCCCAGAAATCTCCCAAGACCAATCATCAGAACCACGCTAATGCACGATTCGTATAGCGATTTGACAGGGATTAGCCTGCTATTCTGCCGTCTGCCATGACCCCCAGATAATGCGTCAGTTTTTCATCTTTGAGCCTCATCGCTCGCTTGGATCGCCCTAAACGTCCTGATCCTCCTCTTACACGCCGACAAGTGCGACAAGGGTATGCTATACGAATCGTGCATGAAGCTAAGCCCCGACTTTTATCAACGACAATCTATACCTACACCTTGAAGCATCAACTCCTCCACAAACTCGACTTACTTTTCAACTCGGCATCATGATAATCTCCACCTCCCGGTCTCGACGGTAATACGTTGAGGGATTTACCTTGATTTTCTGGACGGTTCCGTGTGTTCAAGCAGCTCAAGAGGGCTACATCGTAACATCTAAGCCATCTTCATCCTTGTCGACTGTTCCTGTGCCGTCAAAACTCGGCGTGATACTCTCATGATGTGGCTCTTTGTGGATGTCCTGATAGGCCTCTCTTCTTGTGTTAGCCCAACAACTTGGTCATTCGTGCCCCGAAATGCTCCTTGACGCTCTATGTTTACCCGGACGGATGAGAATCCCTGGTTTCGTTCTCCCACCTTAGACGAGATCTGCATCGGGATAGATGCAACTGGATCCCTGAACTTGAGTCCATCTCTCCCGAAGACAGACGATCAGTGACAAAGTGTTTGACACACTGTAAGAGTCTGAGATTGAATCCATGTTGATGAGATGTGTTTTGATTCTTTCTCCTCAGTCTTGATCCCTGCCTATGCGGGCCTACTCTCGAGCCTGTCTTCGACCCAAGGAGGGGCCTTCGAGAAGTTACGCAGACATCGCAGAAGTACCTTTCCTTCGCTTCAAGTACTCGCCACTCTTGGTCTGACTGATGCCAAGATCTTCTTCATCTTCCTCCTTCTGTTCCGTCCACTGGCTCTGACGGTACATTCGCCCGTTCCTTTTGCTCACACAAGTCATCTTGTCATTAGTAATTCCATGACCCTCCCAACTGTTCGTCCATGGCTGTGCTTGGGAGTTCGGTCGAGACTATCTGAGAGGATACACTGCCAGATATCTCTGTGACAGATGATCACTATAGCGCGTGAATCATAATGTCAGTCTTCTTTTGATCCAGACTGGCGTACTCTATCCTTCGTCCCTCCTATTTCTAGCAGTTACCAAATGTAGTTTGTCCTAGAAGACGCACTTCACAGGCTAGTTGCTCTCCTACTCTCTTTTGGCTTCACGCGCTGTGAGACTTCCATAGCCTGCCAATCCATTCGCCTCGACTCCATCCCCTTCCGTGGACGTTGCATCTGCATTGCTGAATTAGTGGGCTTTTCTCAGATGCGGCTCGGAACCCATTTGTTTGCTGTGCTTATCTGAGTTACGGGCGTTGCTACTCGGGAAAAACTCTCATGGTTGCTATGATACAACTCACTACATAAGATGAACCAGGGCCTGCCAACCAAACCCAACCCCTTTTATATCATTTCATACCCCTAGGTTGATATTCCCCATCCCTGGTGTATTCATGATGGATCCAGTCAGACCTGCACTTCCTCAATATCGCTTCCATCCATCATTACTCCATTCAGGTCACTTCCGTAGTAAGTTTGAGTTGTCAGGTGACAAGAAAGCTCACGCTTCGGGCCACTAGTTGCCCCTTAGTTACCCATTGATCAATCTTAAATGTGTCTTTGTTTGGGTTGAATGAGGCATCCGTCAGCACGTGGTTGCGAGCCTACCGGGGCTACACATATCGAGTCGCCACTTGGGGCTTTTGTTAGAATACAGAATCGAGATGCGACCGTTCTGACGACCACTCAAGTGACTAGAGGCAGCAATAGCAAGGTATCTCATGTGGCTGTGCCACAGTGAAATGGTGAATGGAAACCACTACGGCACAAAGGCATGAGGAAAAGAGAATGGAGCCCACACAAGACGCAGAGCTCTGGCTCCCCCCGTCCCCGTCCTGAGATGCTCTTGTATAGAAAATCTCGGTGCTTCTTCTGCTATTCCAGCTTCTCGTAGTCACCGAAGCTCAGGGTTACGCGTTATCCAAGAATTGCATTCTTAGCAATGGCGCCAAGTGAGGAGTCTCCTCCCACGTTCAGTGTTGAGGTGTCATGATAGCTCTTTACTTCTCGTGTCTATAATAGATCAGCAAATGCGTGCCGGATTGTGTAAATCAGGAAACCATGGCAAAGTGCGTTTTCATAAGGGCCACCAGTCGAAAATTAGCTGCTGCGGTGGTAAGAAACAACACCCCTCCATAGTATCTTTGATCATGACAAAACAGTTACTCAAACGAATCATGTCGAAATAAAGGCAAAGCTCTTCGGAGACAGCACATGGACTTCACAATGATAGTGCCTGTGCTTGGGTGAAAACTGCAAGTTTTTTTCTCGAGATTCTGGACTCACCACTATATTTATTAAGTTTGGTCCTTTTGTAGCTGGAAAGCCCATATGGCCATGACAATCGATGTAATTTGGCACTCAAATGCAGTAATGGGTTGGTGTGTGAGGGTGAGCTGCACATAATGGAGGCAAGAAAACTTGAGACCTGGACCTAAGTGATAAGGTGATCCTTCTAACAAAAGCCCTAAGCTGATAGTAACTTACCCGAGTCGTTCTATTGCTTCGGAACCAGATCCTAAGTCTTTTTGCTCCAGAAGGCATGGAATTGCGGTATCAGAGAACGAGCACGGCTGTCAAAGTTCACAAATCGCAACGTTCAAGTAACTATTGATGGTGTTTATTAGGAGTGCCTAGTAGGATCTTCCTCTTCCGTCCATGCCACAACTTTGGGGTATCATATTCTGGTCTCTTCATGCTTTCCACCTTGCGCTGGCACCAGTGTGTGATTTGCCGGTTTATTCGCGGCTCTCTGCCTCAGCCTGCTTCTGGATGTCGTGCTCAACACCACGCTGGCGGGTCTTGCCCTCAGCACGAAGCTCGTCGTAGTGGGCCTCCTGCTCCTTGTTGCCGATGAGGTTGGAGACGGCACCACCAATAGTACCCTGGGCACGGTCGCTGATGCCAGTACCGAGATCGCTGAGCTGACCCTTGGCCTCCTGGTTTCTACCCTCGAGATTCTGTTCATGGCCAGCCTTCTTCAGGGACTATCAATCATATTAGTAAATTAAGCATGACTAGAGTTATCAATCTTACCTCGCTGCCGATGATTCCACCAACAGCCTCCTTAGCGGAGCCAGCGGTCTGGTTCCAAGAACCCTCAGTGCGGTTGGGGTCATCTTTGGCGGCGGCACCGGAGCCAGAGAGGGTGACACCGGGGAGCTTGGCGGTAGCGTGGGACGCATCATGCTCGGCTTCGGCCTTCTGCTTCTTGAGGTCGCCAGCGGCCTGGTCGCTGGTGTTTCCAGTGAGACTGCCAATAGCACTCTGAACAGCACCGGAGGCGGAGTCGACGACGGACTTAAGAGTGGAAGGTTGGGGAGTATCAGACATGTTGATTGATTGATGGGGTTGGTAGGATTTGTGGTTTGTTTGTGTTTGTGTAGGATGGGGTTCTTGATAGTGTTTGGATTTCAAAGATGTTGATGAAGGAATCAAGTTGAGTCGAGAGGCGGGAGAGGAGAACGCTTTATAGTAATTTGAAGGAAGTCCATCACGAAGGAAGATATCTCATCAAGGCAACTACAGTGGTACAATGATGTCATTTTTGTCGAGAATTGCAGTGACGCGCCGCGCACAGGGAGGCACATAGGTAGAAGGAGCTGTTGGCGGGCAGGAGCTTAGGTGCCTACCTAGGAACTACCTAGGTAAGTATGACGTCAACAAAGGAAGGCAGCAGGTACTGTACATCCATAGATGGAACTCACCCACGAACGCCAGGAAGTCGCGATCCACGTTTCGGAGTGGTTGAGTAACGTGATAATATTGGATCAACCCCATCACTTGATGTCGGCTGTTTGTGCAGGAGTGTCGAGATCGAGATTCGAAGCAATGGCCATCTTACACGCCCTCTCTCAGCATGCACAAGTGCTGTTTAGCACGCATGTGATTATCAACATTCATCAAGCCAGACCCGTATCAACTGTCACTTTGTCAAATACTAAAATTCGTTGAACATCACGTCACATATGGTACCATTTTAGAATATAAAACGTGGTCGGCATGCGCAATAATGAATGGTCGTGTCTCATTCTGTGCGACTCTAGCCTTGAACTCAAGCCAAACTCAACTCCGATTGTTTGTTTCATTTCCAACAGGCAAAGCACGTTCCCGGTGCTTAATGTGAATGAGAGGCGCCTGTTATCGTCCTTTGATCCATCCCATAATTTGCAACCCCCTTGACCAATTGCTCCCTATTTTCGTCCTCAGATGTAAAAGAAAGAGGTATCTCTGATATTACAGTATGCTATACAGACACAACTGAGCCTCGCTTCAGTCGGCCATCTTCATTAACGTCCTTAATTCATCCAGAGTGACTAAGACTGAGCATGGAACTCTAGGTGAACGGGTAATCATCATCATCACAGCTTGCTTAGTGCTGGCTCCACTGAATGGTATTCAAATCGATGCCCTCCTGGACGAGCTCCCACAGAGGGCTCAGCTCTCGGAGGAAAGTGACACGTTCCTGTACTGCCTTGAGAACATAGTCAATCTCAGCTTCAGTGGTAAAGCGGCCAATGCCGAATCGGATACTGCTGTGAGCGCTCTCGTCACTGTTGCCAAGCGCGCGCAGAACGTAGCTAGGCTCCAGTGAGGCCGAGGTACAAGCACTGCCCGAAGACAGAGCAATATCCTTGAGGGCCATCAGGAGAGACTCTCCCTCGACATAAGCAAAGGAAACGTTGACGCAACCGGGGTAGAAGGAGTCGGCAGCGCCGTTCTGTGTTGTGTGCTCCATAGACAAGAGGCCGTTGAGCAGGCGATCTGAAAGATATTTAATGCGCTTGGTGTCGTACTATAAATCGGTCAGTATCTAATGTACGTAGATGTGGGAATAAGACAAGATTGAAAGATATCGTAGATCAGACAGAAGCTTCGATCAACACGGCCGGCCTTGTCACGGGCCATTCAGAAAGCCATGCATGTGTAGAGCAGCTCATCATATGTACAGAGAGAGGGTTGAGAAAGTTATGAGCACTTACAGCCATCTCCTCCTTGGCGATGCGACAAGCCTCGCCAAAGCCGGCAACGAGGGAGGGAGCGAGAGTTCCACTTCGGAGACCTCGTTCCTGACCACCGCCGGTAATAAGAGGGTCCAGTCTGACCCTAGGTCGCCTTCGGACATAACAGGCCCCAATACCCTTGGGACCATAAATTTTATGCGAGGAAATTGACATCAAGTCAATGTTCATGGCGTTGACGTCGAGAGGAATCTTGCCCACAGCTTGGGCAGCGTCAGTATGGAAGAAGATCTTCTTCGATCGGCACAGCTTGCCGATTTGCTCAATAGGCTGGATCACACCAATCTCGTTGTTGACAGTCATGATACTGACGAGGGCAGTCTCGGGTCGGATAGCGGCCTCCAGATCCTCCATTCTGATGAGACCGTTGTTCTGAACAGGGAGATATGTGACCTCGAAGCCCTCATCCTGAAGATGGCGGCAGCTGTCGAGTACACACTTGTGCTCAGTCTGTGTTGTGATGATGTGCTTCTTCTTACCAGATCGACCAAAGAAGCGAGCGACGCCCTTGATACTCATGTTATTACTCTCGGTGGCACCGCTGGTGAAGATGATCTCCTTGGAATCAGCACCGATAAGCTTGGCGACGTGCTCACGCGCATCTTCTACAGCTTTCTCACTCTCCCATCCATAAGCATGTGTTCGCGAATGGGGGTTGCCATAGACGCCGACATAGAATGGCATCATTGCATCGAGAACTCGAGGATCGACGGGCGTTGTAGCCTGCATGTCGAGATAGATGGGGCGCTGGCCCTCATCCATAACTGCTGCTTGCTTCAGGACCTCTATTTGGGATGATTAGCCACAATATATTAAAAATCTCGCTCACTAGGCGGAGCGGATCAAGACGCACTTACCAGCCATTGGACTAACGCTAGCATTGGAAGGAGTATCAGGCGGAGGGATGTCAGCAAAGGCCTTCTTGTCGAGCTTGATAGCCGTCTCAACCTGAGCATTGTCCCTCTTGGTCTCCGATACATATCCACGTCGTGATGTGCGCCTCGCCACGACAGCTGCGCGAGCCATACCTCGCAGAGGAGCTACAGTAATGCGAGAGGCTGGGCTCAAGCCAACTCGGCCCGCCGAGCGCAGGGCGCATGAAGCGATATTGGAAGACATTATGAATTGAATGTCTGGCAGTTGCAAGGACGAAGAAACGTCAAGCTAAGCCAGTGGGCAGAAGAAGAGAAGAAGTGAATTTTGGTGGAGGAGGCGATGAGCTCCAGGTCCAAGATTTGTCATTAGCTTGTCGGCTCGGGGCCCTCGGTGATAAGCATCCGGCAGATTCGGCACGGCCATTGGTTGAAAAAGCCGGGGAGCGGCAGAAGGTGTGCTCTTTAGGTCTTAGGTTACGGCGGAGGAGAAGCCGAGACCGTTGTTGTGAGGAGAAGATGGAAGAGTCATTATGTCGTGGCGATATGTGAGCAGTAACGGGAGGCAATCAATGCAACGTTCTTTGCAGGGTCTTTCCAGGTATGGTCTGCTTCTCTACAGTAGGTAGGCATGCAGGCTGTCGGTTCGGTTCAGTTCAGAGCCTCAACATCAAGAACCCCAGCACACTCAGTCAGAACTTGTTCCTATTGCGGTCCTGGCGGAGTTTTCATTGAACCTTCAATTCACCGAACCCGATAGGCATCAGTGTATCATATTATCCTCTGCATGTGCCTCTCCGGGCATTGGCTTCCCATTCCCCAAGGCTGAACTAGGTACCTACTTGCAGTACTGTACCTACCTAGGTATGTAAAAGAATGGAAGGGCTTCAATTATGGCTCAGGTGCAACGCCTTCGACCCGACCTGTGGCCCGAATGAGAGATTGATCCCTGAAAGCTGTCAAGAGTGACGCAACGCCCATGACGCAGTGGACGCAGTGGCTATAATCCCCTTAGGTCACTCCTCTAAAATTCAAGCTCTGAATTAGCAGGTACTACATAACTGCTCCGGTCAACTTGGTGCTTTCAAAAGGTATATGGTTCAAGACAAAACCACATTACAAGAATCGGACTCACATCTAAGTACTTTGATATACTCCGTGCCCATTTTCCCTCAGTCCGATGCTACCTAGGTAGGCACTGAATAGTCCTTGAACTGCCGCCGTTGTCACCTCAGTTCCCCCCCATGTGCCCCTATTATTTCTTCAACCTCTGGATAGCCACAGAATCGGAAACCGGCAGGCTTGGCAGCGAGGCATAGGACGGGCTGGGCAGCAAAAAAGGCCCAGTCAGGGAACTTAAACCTGGGAGCTAAACTAAAACACAGCCACACAAGTGGACGTCACCGTTCCACGACTCACTCAGTCATGTTCTGGACTGTCCTGCCCTGTCATAATCGAGAGCTTCATAAGTTACCCTCTCGTCTAACTTTGGCGGCCTCGCGATCTGAGGGTTTTCGCGATACTGACTCACTCTTCTTCCACCCACCACCGACTCTACTCCTGGCATCACTCAATTAATCTTACAACTATCGCCGCGCTCTCGCCATGAGCTTCAAAGGCTTCCAGAAGAGCCTCACTCGGGTAAGCCGTGCCCCTCACTTGATGGTGCTTGGATTTCCAGCATGTCTCGCGCGGTTGAAGAGTCGAGACACGCCATCATGATGAGACATACGATCTCAAATACTGATATATATCTTGCTCTTAGGCCCCACAGCAGTTCAAGTCCAAATTCAACATCGGCGAGCATACCAAAGATGCTGTCTACATCGACGCCGAACGTCGTTTCCAGGAACTCGAGACTGAGACCAAGAAGCTCCACGATGAGTCCAAAAAGTACTTCGAGTCCATCAATGGCATGCTTTCCCATCAGATCGAGTTCAGCAAGGCCATGACCGAAGTCTACAAGCCCATCTCGGGTCGCATGTCAGACCCAGACTCAATGAAGATTGAGGGTAACCCCGAAGGCATCCGTGCTTGCGAAGAATACGAGGCTGTAGTCAAGGACCTGCAAGAGACGTTGGCACCGGAGTTGGAAATGATAGAATCTAGGATTATCCGTCCCGCTAACGAGTTGCTCGACGTCATCAAGGTGATACGCAAGACCGCCCTAAAGCGTGAACACAAGAGACTTGACTACGACCGACACCGCACAACCCTCAAGAAGCTGCAGGACAAGAAAGAGCGCACTGCCAAGGACGAAAAGGCAATGTGGAAGGCCGAAGGAGACGTCGAGCAAGCCACCCAGGACTTCAACTACTTCAACGACCTCCTTAAGGACGAGCTACCCAAGCTGTTCCAGCTCGAGCGCGAATTTATCCAGCCCCTCTTCCAATCGTTCTACTATATGCAGCTCAACATCTTCTACACACTCCATGAGAAGATGCAAAATTGCGACATCGGCTATTTCGATCTCACGCTCGACATTGAGGATGCTTTCCATGAGAAGCGCGGCGATATTCAAGAACAGGCCGAGGCACTGTCCATCTGTCGCTTCAAGACCACAGGTCGCCCGCGACCTGTGCGATACGGGGCCAAGCCTGCCCTCGAAGGCCCCAAGCAGCCCGCACTCCTTACACAGGGAGGCGAGGGTTCCAAACCGTCAAGCAGCACTGTGACGAGCCCTAAAATTGGTGGCTATCAACGCCCCGCCTCGACCGCCAACGAAGGTGCCGCTCCTCCGCCGTATACCCCCCCAACAGGCGCCAATGCAGGCCTGGCTGCCATCGCCGCTGGCAAGAAGAAGCCACCGCCTCCTAAGCCCAAGCCCAAACCCATGCGCCTCACCGCCCCGGGAGTTGAGACTGTAACGGCTCTTTACGATTACGCTGCGCAAGCCGAGGGCGATCTCAGTTTCCGAGCTGGTGACGTTATCGAGATTGTTACAAGGACACAGAACGAGAACGAATGGTGGAGTGGACGACTGCAAGGCAAGGAGGGACAGTTCCCAGGTGAGTACTGTTGGTTGTCGAGATCTCATCAGGTACTAACAGGGAACAGGCAATTATGTTCAGCTCAACAGCTGAGGAGCGTGATCGTTGCATTGGCCACGAAGGTGATCCAATCCGTGATAAGACTACCACTACTTGTATACCTGGACACGAAACAAAACGAAACAACCCACCAAAACTTGCTTACAATAGACATCCATAATTCAGAGAACAGCATCAGTCAAAGGTAGATATAGGGAAGGCCGAGGCGCATGGATGAAGCACAGGAGCTGAGACGTGAAGATGAAATAACAGTCCATGGTGTCAGCTCGATGTCCTGGAAACGAAATGTAAGGGCCCTTCGTTTCTGGAGATGCAAGGAGCCTCTGAAGCCAAGGAAGAAAGAAGATGGGGCATTTCTGGCGTTAATGGATAGGGCTTTTGCTGTCTGTAGAAGCAGATAATACAATACTACTATATTTTCAACCAATCCATGCACGATAGCCTCGTAGCTTCTAGTTATAGGCCATTGGAGGGGTCGGGCTTATACGGCTTGTACGGCTTGTATGAATAATACCTAGGCATTGATACACGTCGCCGGCCTCTTGGGGGAAGCATCTAGCCATGGATGTCAAGACACGCATGGTTTGATTGCTCTAAACTCGCGCAGCATACTCTAAAAGTTGTTAGTGAGGCATGGGTCTGCATGTATGTTAGTTAGTTACTGCATACATACATGTATGCTAGAGCCTGCTTTTGTCAAGGACTGAATCACGCGTAGCAGATTTTGACGAGGTTGAATGAGGCTCAAAAATGGGGTTGACCCCTCAGGGATCTCAACAGGGGGGCTACACCATCAAAACATGCGTGTCAGGACATGAAAGATGTCATGTAATTGGCCAATCCTGGAATATTGGCTGCATGGAATGGGCAATCAATACTCTCAGCAGGTACCACAGCCTGATTTCGCAGCTGAATACCAATCGCGCCACGAACAGCTGCTTCAGGGTAAAGTCATGATATTCATGAGAGTTGTTGAGCTGAGCTTGGAGCCAACCTAAGACTGGAGTACATATGTATATACTTACCTGTCGGGTTTGCCTCGCGTAGTGAGTGGCAGGCTTGTAGAATATCGACTGTACCTAGTTCTTAGAATTGAACCGCCGTACAACGCCAGCAGAGCCTCTTTTTTTTCACTTTCTAGAACTAGTTACACCATGTCCATCGATAGTACGACGAATAATCCAACTGCGCCGCGAGACTAACTGCTTAGTGCAACGACGGGTCAAGTCAATCTGTTGTGGCCTTGTCTCTTATACGTTATTGACAGGCTCTGAAGACACATGCGTAACCTGACTTTGACTCTACACCATCTCGATATCCTCGTGATGCCGATGACCTGCACATCGAGGTCAAGCTTTGGTCACCTTGACTTGAATAGAGAAAAAGAGAAGAAAACGAACAGCAATGGCACTATTCTCGAAAGATGTAGCACACGAGCTTAGACTCTTCTAAGCGGTCGTCAGCTAAAAAAAAAAAAAGAGCCTCATTCCCTGCGAAACTTGCTCTTGACCCAAACACCAACCAACCACGAATTTCCAATTCGCTATGATTGCCTCTTTTTTGACTAATCGAATTCGAGAGCAGAGACATGGGGCGTCCAAGAATTCGTTGGCATTCCTCTGAGCAGGGGTAGGCTCCTTGGACCCGTGATAAGGCTGTGAATCGCGACTCGGAACTCGAGGGCTCTTGCGGCTCTGCTCCCCTCTTCTCCTGTAATGAGGGACTTAACAACTACCGGGGCACTGCGAATAGCGTCGTATCCCGTATACATCTCGGTACATCTTGTCGCTTGTGAACATGAACACACGCCGCTCAACAGGATCTTGTCTCCTCGCTCTCTCCTCGCAGCATCGCCATGAGCATTCTCAAACTACCTGTCGAGATTGTTTCTCTTCTTGTTGAGTTGCTCAACGTTGAGGATGTGTTCAACTTGGCTCTGTCCTGCAAATCCTTGACCTACATTCTCTACGATAGACGAATGTGTCGTCTTGCACTCTTGGTTCGTTCCAGCCTCTTGTCTTTGGTGAGGTAGTCCCCGCTGACAACATCTCAGAAGGCACCGTATTCCGCAGAGGCTCAGGAGGCGCAGTCGACCAAGGACTTCCCAAGGTCATTCCGTAAGCTTGCTAAGCGGCGAAGAGCTGTCCAGGCAGCGGAACCATGGATGGTTGCTATAGTTGCCATGGCAGATCGTTTCATATATACGAATGGGCACTTGTGCTACACTGTTAATAGCAACCATCTCCGCGTCCTCAACACGCTCGACAAAAAGTTCACGTTTGAAAGGATAGTCGATGTTCCGCTACTTCTCAAGCTCGCAGTAAGAGACTACGACTGTCAAAGACCGCACACCTTTGAACCCCTTTACTACGCAGAGGGCGTCTTATCATGTCTTGCCACTCAAGTTCTCCAAGACTCAACCACCAGCAGTTGGCTTGTCATCTTCGAGCTCAGAGAATCTCCCACATGGGTTGTCGTACAAAGGCCGTGTTCAAGACACCCGCTATTTGTACGCAATGACAAGAATTATCTGTTCTGGGGTTCAAAATCACATGCCACGCTAGACGGTAGCTACAGATGGGGCATTCACTGCCTCAATCTCCAGACTCGCAAGTGGGCTGATTCACAGCTGTTTCTATGGGATCTTGACGGGGAGAGTATAGGGTCTGACGTCTGCTTTGAAATAATCGATGGTCAGTTTTACTGTGTTTCGAACACGTTCAGAACAGAAGCCGATGATGGAATGCGCAATAACTTCTACCAAGTTGTGAGGTTCCCCGTGGACAATGCGGTCCACGAAAGTTGCGAGAAGCCTCCCATGCGCAACCTATGGCGTCTTCATGACTCAGAGGGCGCAGTAGACGAGCGGTGGACTTCGCTGCAGCTCACTAAAGACGAGAAAACAGGGAACCTCTTCATTGTCGAGACTCGAAAGGAGTGGTTCCCGGGAAATGCAGGCAGCCAGAGGACGTGCTACAAAAAGGAGCTTCACTTTGATAAACAAGAAGAAGCCCCTCAGCCAGAGCCTTCTCTGCCCACTCCGCCAGAGTCGACCGTGGACAGCCTCGAAGACGATGAATGGATCAGTGAGAACCATATTGAAGAACGATCGAGTGAGACGATCCACATTGGTGACGGCCCATCTGATGCCAAAACATACACCCTCCAAGAATGCTTTGTGCGTTCATACAACCCATCGTGCGATGCTTTCATCGACCTTGTTTCTGAGGCTTACAGTCCTGACTCGATGATGCAGCTCAGAGTACAGTCCAAGAAACGAGAACCGTCAGTCAATATATGGCCACGAGACCAAGAAACAGGCCACTATCATAATGACTCGGCTCAGCTCCAAGGCGTTGTCAACCCCGTCCAGCCCATTCAAGGGATCGAATGGTCTATGGATGAGCGAATCTTGGTGTATTCACCAACTCATATGGCTTACGGACAATTGAGGCCCATCGTCCTCATTTCGTTCGACCCAGAATATGTTCTTAATGGCTTTCCGAATTATGCAACACAGACTCAAGGCGCAGATGGCCATCTCGATGCCTCTGACCATCTGGAAACAAGCAGCGGACAGAGAGGCATACTATGGTCATCAAACCAGGATTTTGGTGAGTCTGCATCGCCAGGAAAGGGTGATCGCAACGCATTTGCCAACTTTGTGAGGTCGCGCCCCTCGCTTTACCAGACGATGAGTATGGGAAACGGGAATGCACATGGTTTCGATCTCTCATATCCATGCCCTTGGCGATGAATTCGTGTGCGTGTGTGCGTGTATGTGTGTGGAAGAGGCCTCAGTTCTGTTGCGTGACCTTGAGGCCTTCCATAGCCCGGTCTGTCAGGGATCGCCTTGGAGCAACACATTTCTACAAATATGAGATGCTATAGTCAGTGATAATAGAACCTCACGGGATTATACATGAAGCCACAGTGATGCAGTGAATTCTCGGCAAGAAAACAAGACGGCACAAGACAATCATGTCATATGCAGGCGATTCGTTCATAAATGTATATATGTAAATCTTGTGTACACACCCAGTTTCATGGAGAGGCGGGTTCAGGCAACGCAACCTCATATGCTAGGCCCAGGTACAAACAATGCCAGCCAGCTTGAGTGACACGGCAGCTCACTAAAGACTCAGGATTGACGTATGAGCTCTTCTGACAGTTTCATGCAACCCTTTTACAAGTCATTGGGAGCGTTAGAACGAAGAGCCTCAGCCTCCCGTCTGATGGATGGTTCGCCTGAAGCCAACCCCCAGCCTTGACAAGGCGACTGCGTCCGTCAATGCCGCGAAGCTAGATCCGACTTTGTCACTTGACATATGATTGTAAATTCCAATGTGATGGGTAACTACCGAGGTAGCTTAGTGGCCAGTAATTTCTACCAGAGCTTGAACTGTAGAGATCCTAGCTCGACTCTAACCACACACACATCTTCCGCTTTCAAATCTACGAATCGTAAAGATGAGGCAAGCAAAATGAGGGACATCGCAACACTATATGCCAGCCAAGTCGTCGCAGTGTATTCCTCGTTCGGTCTATGTCACAACATACGCAAATGTCGACTTGGGGCGGTCGACTCAGCTGTCTTTCGGTTATGCTTATGGGAGCTAGCACACTCCGAGGGTTCTAGGATAAGATACGTCATATCATGGTTCATCATCGTCTGGTATTAACAGATACTTGTTGTGACTGTAACTTCGAAATTGAGGGTTGATAGTGTAATACATGCTTCGAATATGTGTAGACACGTCCCGTAGAGTCAAAAGTGCCAGAATTTGAAGCGTATTCACCCCATACATCTTCTTTGTACATGTTCACCCTCACCAGAGAAACCCCATGCAGTCTCTCTTCTGCGCGTCGACCGACAACAAGACACGAAAACCATTCCAGAGACATACAGAAGACACATCAAAATGCATGCTGATGCCCCTATGACAAGAATGAAAAGGCCAAACTAAAGATCCGCCCATGGACGGTATGAACCGCGATTTGGACCCAGGTCCTGAGACTCCAGATCCCAATTCGACATCCAGTAATAAAGATTAAGAAGTACATGAACTCATGAGCGTATAGATCCTCGTCTAGAACATCCCCCCCACCCCCGCAAAAAGTGACGGCAAAAGAATAAATCAGGTCGTAAGCATAGACAACATGTGTTGTCATGGATTACTTCTTTCGGCGACTAAACATCTTCGATAGACTACTGCTGCTCTCCTCCTTGGGAGGTGGAGGGGCCATCACAGGCTCTGGCGGAGGCTCTGAAGTGCGCAGGAACGCTGCCAAATCCGAGGTACGTGAAACGTTCGATACTGCATCTCGAGGCTCAAACTTCTTCATGGGAACACGGCGTCCAGAGGAAACTGATGAGGCAGGCTGTGAAGGGCGAGATGAGTTCTCACCAGTGGGCATCCCATATTTGTCATATCCCGATGGGACGTTGACCTGGATGGGAATATAATTCCTGAAACCAGCACGGCTACTAAGAGATCGAGTGTCGTTGCCTTGGGGTGATACAGGTGCAGTGTTGGAGTTATTGCTCTCCTTGCGAGTGAATCTCCCAATCAGGCTGGGTGCACTCGCTTTCTTCTTTGGTAGTTTTTGTGAGATCGATGTCGTGACAGGCTCCGGTGGAGGCTCATAGTTCATGAGAAACTCCGCCAAGCTCTCCTCCTTCTTAGCAGGAGGCTTTGGCGTTGCAAGCAAGACTTCGTCATCCTCGTCGTCGCTAAAGTCAATGGCGTAGGGGTCCTTGACACGTCGAGTCTTGCGTTTAGGCATCATATCATCTTCATCAAACATCTTACTCGTTGGAGCAGGCTGTCCTTTGTTCTTCAAAAGGGCCGTGTTGGAGTTAATAGATGAGTGAATCGAAGGCATTGATGACTCGGTGCCATGAGTCGAAGCCTGGCTGTATCGGATATCGGGAATGTTGGCGTCTACGGCCTTACCACCTGCTGGTTCTTCAGCACCGGTTGTATCCCAAGGTGCGATATTGTGAGGAATACGGTTGCTATTTGCGCCTGGGGGTCCCTGTCGGATAAAGTCGATTAGATCCGAGCTACCACTACGGGACTCGACCACAGCATCACGGGGCATATATCGATTTCGATTGCTTGCCGATGAAACACGACGACTATCGAGGCTGGTCTTGCCGGGGGTATTTGGGCTGCTCACATTTCGAAGTTGCATAGGACGGCTGTCTCCTGCGGGACCAGTAGATTTGATAAATTCTGCAAAATCCGCAGTAGATTCGCTGGGAACCCGAGCGTCTCTTGGGGCAGCAGACATACGTGGTCTGTTCGGGTTAGGAGAAGGCAATGGCTTCATTCTATCGTCACCAACCCGGTGATGGGGAGATGCCCTCTTCATGTCGGTTGCCGCAGAAGAAGACCTGGAACGGTTGTGAGCACGAGTGTCATCGTTCTTGATGGATCCCTTAAACACCGAATTGTCAAGTGACTGCTTGTGCTATCGTCATCGTTAGATCCGTTCCCTTTCGGCAATGCGTATTTTACTCACATCCATGTTGCGCATATTCTCAGGCGTCAGCGTATATGTGATGGTTTGGTTGCTCTGGATAAGCTCTTCAAAGTTACGGGCCATGGCTGAACGGCTTCCATTGTCCTCGGAAGTTCGAACAGCTTTAAGTCGACTTGTACCTGAGGAGGCTGATGAGCCTGAAGTGTGAGTAGGCCGAGGGGTCTGCGCGTTGCCTCCATCCTCGTCCGAGTCCCTTGTCCCTGATCGCTCTATGGATACCATGCCAATACTGTGAGTGGGAGAAGTAGGTACCTTGTCATTTCGTGCAGCATGTCGGTTTGAGTAGCCTGCCGGCTTTCGTAAAACTTCAGCAGACTTCTCGGGGACGGTTTCAGAGGTGCTTGTAGGGCGCGTGGATACCACCTTGGTACTGGATGAAGATTGTTGAAGAACAGGTGAGTGATGTGAAGATCCAACCATAGTTTGAGGTCGTTTGGCCTCGGTGGGAGAGGCAGCCTCTGGAACTGTTGGCGTGGAAGGCTGATAAGCAATATACTTGTGAGGCCTCTGCTCTCTGGTTCTATTGCGATCCATCTCCTCATCAGATTCAGAGATTGTTGCAGCACCTGGCACAGAACCTCGCATGGCATCAACTGGAGAGCGACTTTTTGGACCTGGGCGAGTTGAGGTTGCAGGGGAGTTCTGAGTCTGCGCATCAACTGCGCTGACACCATTGGAGAGACCACTACTTGGAGGTATGGTTAGACTCGCCCGACGGATACGGTCCGCAGCATCAGCTGAGGGTGAGCGCGACCCGCTGGGGCTCTTGGGACCAGCTACATCGATGATGCGCGCTGAGTGCACGCTTGATGATCTCCTTAGTGGGAACGGACCACCAGTATCAGACAGGGCCGGCGAAGAGCTGCCAGCTACTGACACTCGGGCTGATGTCAGGATCTCTGCCTTCTCGTAAGTCGGATCCTCGTCTGCGATCTCCTGTCTTGACTGAATGCGGCTTGTTATAATCTTAGACAGCCGCTTGCTCTTGGGAGCCACTGGCTCCGGAACAAGCTCGTCTTTAGGCTTGCTTCCATCTATCTCCTTAACATCCCGGGTTTCCTCGCTGCTGGTTTGCTCGGTCTTGGCTTCTTCGACAGGCTCTTGTTTTTCCTCAACGACACTAGCCTTGACCAGTACAGCATCCTTCTCCTTCGATCGCTTAGCAGCAGGACGATATGGTGATGCGCCGGGTGTTGGAAGAGAGTTTGAACGCTTGCGACCAGCGAAGTCGGGAGTATTGGGTTGCGACAAGGTTGGGGTAGGAAGGCCTTGAATAATTCCCAGGGGCAGGATCAACAAACTCTTAGGTCGGCGCCCTCCAACTTCCTCCTCTGCCTCCAATCCCTCGTCTTCATCATCGCTATTGTAGGCCAGACCAGGGATCTCGATTTCATCCACATCATTACTTCCAATAGGAAGCGCGACTTGAGCTGGATCAACAGCTTCAGCTTGTGCCTCCGCTTCTGCATCACGGGTTGGGACCCGACTTAAAACGGGCGAATCAGTGAACACACTGTCTTGTCTCAAATGGCCATTAGACGCCCTTGAAAAGGGGCGGCTATTTAGATCGATCACAGGTGACCGTATCCGCTTCTTCCAGCCCCTCCACAATCGCCCGAGTGTTCGGTCAAGAGCCACCCTCTCCATGTCTTGCTCTTCGACTACAATGCGGTCGGCGACATCGACTGGGTTTCGGGTCCCTTCATTGATCTCCTTCTGGTATTTAGCCCGCAATCTGTGGTATGCGGCTTGTCCCGCGACAGTAAGGGTGAGCTCGCCCATGTACTCCAGAACAGAGGTCAGGAAGATTGCAACAGCTGGTGAAATGACGTCGGAGACAGACTCGTGGGCACCTAGCTCGAGATTCTCCTGTTCCATGTAGAGGTCCTCGTCTTCCTCTTCCATATCGCCTAGGGAAGAGTAGACCATGCACCTAAGACGGGTACGCTTCCAAACCAATTCCAGGTCCCAGTCACGCGCCTTGTCGCCAGTTGGCGGCACATAATCTTCCTCATCACCGTCACCCAAGTATTCACGTAACTCCTCATCGGCATTGTTGACGGCATCTTTCGCAAGCTTAGGTTTTAACACCTCCGAAACGGCAGGTCGTAAGTTGGCCAGAGTAGTAGCTTGGGATTTGGAGAGGAAGTTGAAAAGCAGCTGATCAAGAAAATTGTTGACAAGCTGTAGCGCTTCTCCCGAGACGAGCGCAGGGTCGCTGGCTGGCTCAATACCGTGCTGATCGTACCAGGTATCAGCATGACTATCGTGGTCGTTTGTAACGATCTGAGAAGCGGCCGAAGCAGCGATGAAGGCCGCTGAGGGTGATACAGCGAGTGGCGGCGACATGAGGCTGTGGGCAATTGTTGAAGGTCGATCGCTAGAGATACTCTGGGTCCTAGATCTCACGTCGCGGGGAGAGATGATGCCGGAGGTAGGCCGCGACATGGCCAGGTCGCCGTGTGAGGTCGCCATGGCTGCGATCTATATATATCGGGGGTAGACCTGCAAAGGTCTCCCAAACAATGCGTCGGGGACAGGGAAGTGGTCGCCGACCGGAAGTTTCGTTTGCCTTGTACGAGGTGAGCCGAAATAAACTCGGACGGGCACAGAATTAGGATTGTGGCCCCGGCTCTTGTTCTGTTCTGCCAACGCGCGAAATGTCGAGGAGCGCAATTCGAGGTGGCTGAACGGCAGTGTACTTGGTCGATGAGTGAACCTGATTTCTGTTAATTGACAGCTGCAATGGTATTGCAATCTGAAGTACGGAACTAGGCGGGAAGTAGGGACGGAGAGTTGCTTTTTGTGTAACACAAGTCGCAGGTTGTACAACGAGTCGACCACTGACGAGACAATAGCTGACGGACACGGGTGAGCCAGGCGTCGCGAGCCGACTGACAGCACCAATTCAATTGCAGTTCGACAGCAGAAACCTTGACTGTGCCTTGGGAAATGAGGAATGGGTGTAATAATAGACATACCTTGCAGTATAGCAGGAAGACCAGTGGCGATGCCAGGTGGGTGGATTATCGCAATGTCGCAAAAGCAAGCAATGTCAAAAAGTAGTCCACGAGGGACTGTCCAAAGTTTGAAAGATAAACAAAAGAGAGGTTGAAGTCGAGGTGAGAAAGGAAAAAAAGGTAGGTTGGAGTAACGAGGCGTGCCGATCAGGTCTCGGTCCTCCTCTCCTGTCCTGTCCTGTTTGCTCAGTAGATTTGATTTGAGTTGAGTTCAGGTCAGGTCAGGCCAGGTCAAAGTCGCGGATTTGGCTGCTGCTAAGGGTCTCGTTCAGCCGGCGGATTGTAATTATATGCAGCCCCTGGACCCAGAACAGGCAAGACTGGGGACGGACTGGAAGGCTTCTGTTCTGGCTCTGGCGTTAGAGATTCGGCAAGGTGAGCCAGGTAGACCTTGTTCCGGGGACGGGACCCTGAGGTACAGGATCGACAATATAAGGTAGCGCTATGGTGAAGGTACTGCTAGGACACTCACTGTCGTCTCTGCTGTCGCGGTGCTGCACGCTGTATCAGAGGTCGCAGCGCAGCAACTGCCTACTGGAGTAATAGGATTTGCGACCAAGTCTCGAAAGGGTCTAGCCCCCTCGGGCAGATTGATGATGGTGAATGAATGTGGATATGGATGCCGATGGGATGTTTCCACAGAAGCGGCCGGGGTGGACGGGGCTGGGATGGCAGCTGGAGGTTAGGCTGCTACTGGACAGAGAGTCTGGACGCAACTCCACTATATCCACCGTTCCTGGACAAGCGGACAAGGGCCCTGCCAGTATCGCAAGGGTTTGAGTCAGGGACTCTTCTTTTTTTGAGGGTCGACGGAGCTGGAGCGGAGTCGGGATTTGATTGGGATAGGGGTTGTGATGGTGTTCTTCAGGAGTTCGCTGGGTTCGCTATGTATCGTGTCGTGCATTGGATTAATTAACGTTGCGTGGAAGAGTTACTAGAAGTCGCCTAGAACACACTGTGCCACTGCGATTAATGGGTCGACGGACACGGATGGAATGAATGAAAGGTATGGCCAGCCTCTCTTTACCTACTCACATCATCACATACATGGGCTGTGGCCAAAACCTCCTTTGATCGTGATATCTTCAAGCCTAGTCAGGTTCATAGCTTCTCCGCGATATTCATTACTAGCATGCGGCTAGCTTCTAAGCCTCCTCGTGGTTGCTCGGCCCCCTCTGGGGGACATATTAAACGACCAGAAATGCACCAAAATTCGCTGGTGTTCCACCCGTCGAGGGGTCGTTTTTTATTTCCTCCCCTAGCTCGGCAAGACCGTCTTTCTGCGGTTCCAGGGCTCCTCTTATCATGACTAGTATAGGCCATCGTCCATCGTGGAACAGTAGCTTGGATTTTGTTATTGGGTTGGGTCAAAATACCTAATTACCTGCATGCGCTTCCATGACAGAAATGCCAACGTTAGCGGCCAGATACTGTTGGCCGATATCTTGAAGCTGCAAGGGCCTGCTTTGAAGAATGAGCGAACCGTGCGAGTGAGTATAATAAGAGTCTAATGTTCTTGATTTCTGTATGGGATTGTCAGGCACTTTTCGTATTGCTGCTGCCAGGCTTCTATGATACATATGCCAGACTGTGCTCTCTACTATAGTCTGTTCCCATTATAGCTACCGGCACAGTCACAGATAACCTTGCTCGCCTGCCTGCTTGCTTTTAGCCGTTGAAACACATGAACGTCTTTATCGTCCCAGATTGCTTCTTTCGAGACTCTGTTTCGCTGAGACGTGGATATATGTTACATCGGATCTGTTTCATATAACCATGCCATAAAACTCAGTCGTAATTGACTTGTTACATGTCATTTGCCGAATAGAAACAGCAAATATCATTATCACCATCCCAAAATTACACACATACACGGCCTCGCACGGACAGACTCAGCTTTTGTCATTATCAGCAACGTTAGAGACAGAAAAAGAGACCCGTGTGTTGTTAGACGAGCCAGGCCAGGCCAGGCCAAAGACAAGACCACTTAATCATCCCTGTCCAGACTAATAGCTACATATGGCGTAGGTGTGGCAGCCACCACAAATCAGATGCTTGATGCTTTGGTCCGCGAACTGAGAAAGCTCCACAAGCCACGCGGGTCAATGGAATGCTGGCGCTGGCGCTGGCTCTTTTGTTCTACTCGGGATATCACAATGGATCGTGAACGAATCAAGCATGGGACCTACCATCCAAGTCGCTCTCGTCTCAGGAGGTAACTTTCCTCCGAGGCGAGATAACGACATTACCCATGATCCATTGTGTGAACCAGTTAATCCGTACAATGATCAGCAGTCTATGCTCTCCACGTGTTTCGTAGCTGATCGACACTACTGTATGTACGATCATGATGAACCAGTACAGATTGTGACTGGATATCCATCCGTCAATGATCCATGAGTGATTCCAGTAATAAACCACCTGGGCCACCTAGACCCATCAGATCCTCTCCTGATAAAATCAAACGAGTTAGTTGCATAGTATTCCCCTGGCCCGAACGAGCAGTTGCGATAAACGTGGACGATGACCATGTTAGTGGTTATTACACTCACAATTCAAGACTCAATTCTCAGGGCCAGCTTCTGTCCATCCACTCACTTCACTTCACTTCAGCTCAGCTCAGCTCGACACCAACCCAATAAGAATGCCCTCCGCTACGTGTGACCGTGCGGGATGGCCCAGGAAATTATCCAAAGTCGCTTCCCGTCATGGTATCACTACACCCAATACCACACCACACTGGAAGGGCAACTTGCAGGTCCGACTGTAACCTGTCAACAACAGCAACAAAATATATAGACTTAGAACGTTCAAGATCCCATCTCTGTAAAGTTTACCGGATAAGAGCTACCTCTCGCCTCAGGTATAGACGCTATCATAAAGTCAAAATCGGGCCCGAACCAACGGGACAGGTCTCGGAGCCCCGGATCCATCAGGTTGGCTGGCTGTCACATTTTGCCCCTCCAAAAGGCTGACTAGCATTAAGACGAGATGCTGGTCAGTCTGCGATCCTACAGTATGTAACATACACTGGCTAATAATCTGCGTGACAGCAACAGAAAAAGGTCGGACATTTTCCTACGTGCCGGGACTGAGCGGAGAAGAGGGCCGTACAATGGCTCCCGGGTCCACAGTATAGGTGCGACAGAGACAATGAAAAAAGAGGATCGACGTCAACAAAGAAACCTAACAAGCCTGGTGCTTGCAAATGTTTTAGACATTGCCCATCTCGAGGCTCACTTAGTCACTCTCCGGTCTGTCTCAGTGCGCTAAATTCATCCCCTGCAGCTTGTCAGCTCAAGTTATCCAGCCACTTTTTTGTATAAGGCGGGCTACGTTCTCAATTGGCGTCTTGAGGGTACCGTCGGAATATGGATCCAATCTCGACGAGATGAGTACTGTAGTCTACGCGTTGCTGCAGAACACCAGGTCCCATGTACTTCGTTTGGCTGCTTGCTGGAGCGACAAGAGTACGGTTCAGGCATATCATTACTTGCTGTTACTCAGTCCCTTTCTCACGGCTCAACTTCAGTCAACGGGTTATGCAGCGGACAACACAACAAATACTCATCAATGCGCATCGTCTCTCCTTTGTCATATATTTCTTTAGCATATTCTTTGAGTATTAGCGATCTAATCCTAGGTCACCTTGTGGCTACAGCCCAGTCTGCCCGTACCCCAGGAACAAAGCTTAGACGAAACGCCTTGACATCACCATCTCCATCTCCATGTCTGCTTGATTTAAAAAACCAGGTGGCTCTTCGAGCTCGGCCCGAAGTCTAGTCATCGTTCCCGGCGCTTCAGGCAATAGCCTACCCTCTCCCCGGGACATGTCCATGCGTCGATGTTTGCTCAACCGCCTGCTCTGCCAGTGGGTGCTAATTACAGCAGCATGAGCCTGGCGCCTCATGCGCGTTGCCTTGTGTTGTGAGCTGATATAAGGATGATCTGCAATGAGGCTGCGTCCTTTGAGTTGTGGTGTTGGGAATCGGTTATAAATAGGCAATATCATGCCGATCACGATCCTAGAAAGACCAGAGATCTAGCTGTGGCTCAATGATACATGGCACGTGTTGCAGTGGGACGAAAGTCCCGACAACACGGTCTATATTTGTGCTCTGATTCTGGTTACTCGAACTGGGCTCGAGATATCTATTTGACCAATGGTGGGCTCGATGCCCCAAGTGATGTGGCATAGCCAGTCCATTGCTTCTTCAAAGCTGAAGAGTGAGGCTTTCTTTCGGGTACCACCAACACACGCTATCCCGTGACATGTTCCTCAGAGGTATATGGTCGAGCCCAATGGTTATCGATTCGCGTTCAGCCATGCAAGTGATCAGTCTCCTTGGCATGAAGCTGGCTGTTGCTGAATCCAGAGTTTGCCTGATCCGCTGCAAGTCGCCGAAAGAGCTTGGTCAAGAAGACAAGTCACCTCTGCTCTCACTGCTACAACAGCAACTAGTATCACTTCGATACTTCAAGCGCCGAGGCCGATGTAATGGCTGCGGTATGGGTTGCGCTTTGGAAGCCCTCCAAGCGTTCCTGTCGTATTCATTAGAGAGTGCGAGCACTGAAGGGGGTATCACAACTTTACCTTTAATATTTCCATACCTACATAAGCGACATACTTCCTTTTCTAGACTGACACCTTCGATGATGGTTTCGGGGCAGGTGGCCATCAGCTCGCCGCGGATGCAGAGCTCAACGATTCGGCTGCTGAGTCGGCAGCACTCCTTGCATTGGACGTTCTCTCCTCGACACATAACTATATGAACATTGAGTTTCGATCCCTCAGGACACTGGGCTCTTGAAGGGGCACATACTCACTGGGATAGTGTTGTGGTGGTGGTAAAGGAGTGGCAGGACAATTACACGGCTATAATGATAATGCTTGCAGTGAGGCAAGTCGCGATCAACGCAAATATATAGGTATCGAAGAAGTGAATGTTCTTTCCAGTAAATCCAGTGCACTGTCTTATCGGATTCACCTGTCGAACAACCAGTCTTCGAGTACCGTCGTCTTGAGGCCTACTCTTTGGAGAATGGTTAGAGCTACTTGTTCACCAAAGCGAACAACAGAACAACATGTTTAATACGTCTTGACGGGACGTTATTGTGTGCCTACGTATATTGTTCAGTGTTTCTATTTTCATACTGTTTCAGTCTCTAGTGGCATTTGGTGGTCCCCGAATTTCTTTGTTCAAAATGAAGACAAGGGAATGAAATCATGAACAACCATGGTCTCATCCAAGTCGATCACAAGTTGTAGAAACAAAGAAGTCTCATTACATGATCCACTAGGTTTCTTCAAGGTGTTCGGAGTTCGTCGTGTTTAGCTACCGCTGAGTTACTGTAGACTCCATCCGCGATGCTAACAGGCACCAGACAAATAATAGAATGGTGATGAGACAATACTTGTGATCTACACATGACTCCGCTCAAATATTTCATATAGCTACTTATTTGGGTAACCGCTTCGTCAGGCCCCGGTGATTGTTCCTCGCCAGTAACAATCTCGGCTTCACAACTCGTGCCACTGAATTTGCGAGACCGATTTGTATATCAACAAAAGGATAAACTTGCGAAACATGACAGAAATCATTGAAACACGGATTGCTTGAATCATTATCCATTATCTAGTCTTGGTTCTTAGCCAGTTTATTGCTAATTCTGCATGAAAGAAAGGGGCATAGATGCCGACTTGGGTATCAAGGTGGATGTGATATTCAGCTCCAATATGATTTTCTTCAGCGGGAACCTCTGGGATGATTATGTCCGTGCTTGAAAGTGAAAGCACATTCCTAGATGTTTCGTGGCGACTGTAACATCCTGCCACTGGCAAAGGGTGTCAAGTTTGCGCTCATGGCAACTCTTATTGTGCCTATTGAAAGATGGCTATTAAGCAAACAATTAAGCAAATAATAGGTTTATGGCCACAAGATCTCAACCGTAGCAAGTTTTTTCTTCTTCTTCTTCTTCTTCTTCTTCTTCTTCTTCTTCTTCTTCTTCTTCTTCTTCTTCTTCTTTCATGCTGGAATATTTCTCCCAACATCACACAAGTCAATTAATTAACTGTCAAGTCATTCCTTTCTCTGACAAACAATGTGGTCTCGCCCCTACGCTATGCCGAGGGACTACCTACTCCCTTTTCTCTCAGCTAGCCTCTTCGTCATACAACTTGGTCTTTCGGTAAGTGACCTACCGTCCATCAAGCTCATGCAAGATATTGTATGTGAGCATGTCCATCGAGTCGATAGCCCTGAGCTTCTTCCAGAAGAGAAATGTCGGGATGAGCCGGTCCAGCAACGACTTAACTTCATCATGATGAGGAGGCAAATATCCGCCACTATTTCGGGTATGTTTCCATCACATTTCATATATTTACTTGTTAGGGTTGTTTGTAAGACTTACGACAAAACTGCAGCTACCCTGGTTGCGTTCCCCTTGGGTGTTCTCTCAGATCGAATCGGCCGACTTCCTGTACTGGTTGCAAGTATCTTCCGCATGATACTCTCAGAGTCATACGCCATGCTCGTGTGCTGGAAATCAGACATGATCCCACTCGAAGCAATTTGGTGTGTCGGTGTCGCACTTCTCTTTGGTGGAGGTCGAAGCGTTGCTGAGGCCATGGTATTTGCTATCATTGCGGACACGGTACCCGAATCCAAGAGGCAAGCTTGAATTCAGAGGGTGAGATAAACCAATTTGCTGACGAGCCTTCCTAGATCATCGTGGTTTCAGTGGGTTGTGGCCTCTGTACTTGCTGCTCAGCTCGTAGGCCCTATGCTATCAGGAGAGGCTGGTTCGGTCGTCTGTATGGATGCCACTATTCTTGTCCTTGGGCTTGGTACTCGGAGGCGGCATCATCCTAGTGAGCTTGACACCAGAGACACTCAAACTAAAGCAGCCTCGAGAGGAGGTAAGCGTTGGGCCGTATGACTATTGCCTAGAGTCGAACATGTTGAGCCTGGAGCCTCCCAAGAGAACATCCGTCATGGTCACTTTCAAATCGATGTTCTCTAGGCCTCTCCTCTGGCTTATCCCTGGAGTTGTCATGACAATACCAGTAGCAACAGTGCAGACTGATATCGCCATTCGCCTAATGCCCATACAGTTCAACTGGTCACTCAACCGTTCTATACTTATTGTATCTTTGCGAAGCTTGGTCACACTTCTCACACTATGCATACTGCTACCCGTCATCACATGTTTCTGGAGCAAACTCACACGTTCGTCAACTCATCGCAGATGCTCAATTCTAGCTCGCGCGAGCTCGTTGCTATTCTTAGCTGGCTGCCTCTGCATGATGATGGTAACAAAGGAAGCCTTCATCATTGCAGGCCTAGCCGCGTCGGCACTGGGCTCGGGTCTACCTACGCTCTGCCGCGCCATGTTAGTTGGGATGACAGGGGAGGAGAGAGCCGGGATGCTATTCGGGCTGCTGGCGGTCTGTGAGATCCTCGGTTTTCTCGCTTGTGAGACAAGCATGGGGGCGTTGTTTGGGGTTGGGCTGAAGACGTGGTTGGGGGTGCCATTTTGTCTGGGAACAGCAGCTTCTCTTATCATCAGTCTAACCACATGGCTGGTCCCCATGAAGCTATTAAACACTGGAGATAGCTGATCATTTACGGATACTATATCATTGATTCGATGTTGGCCGGCATACGTTGTCTGGAGTTGGCGACTGACTTGGGACCTTTGGATAATTTACCATAGTTCAATTACCCTGAAGCATCGCCATTACTAACAGATTCCGACATTATTAACGTTACACATAAATACACAGTAGCTTCTCCACGGCAGCCGCTTTGAAACTCTATACTCGAAGAGATCATTCTCAAATTGGAAGGTGAATTATCCATGCCGTCCGTCTTATCATTACACGACGTTGCTGTCGCAGTGTTTGCCTGTGACACCATTCGCAAACGATGATGGGAGATCGGCGTGAAAGAAACCAGTTTTGAAGGTTCCAGGGACTTGTAAGTGAGACAAATCTAGGCCTCAATGTCGGAAATATTATCTTACTCAACATACATAAGCACCGGAATAGACCATTGCCAGTACACCCTGATCTCACCGTAGGTATGCAAAGATGGACCAACAAGAACAGCTCGAATATCTGCAAGTCTCGGATTCTCACATTTTTCTTTTGCCATGTCAAGGCCCATCAAGAGTTACATAGTGAAAAGTCAAAATTGATTGGGCTTGGCTTAGATCAAATGCCCCGTCAAAGAATCAGCAGATCAGAGGTAGATGAGACACGGGAATGCAAGGGTATATGCAATAGTACCCAATTATGTTATGTTATGCAACTCTGCCGTGTGTCAACTGTGGCAGATTTCGCCAAATTCCATTCGACCTTGACTTGGCTGGCTCTGTTCAACCTCGATTACTCTGAGGCTCTTACTTCCGAGCTCCGAGAGTTGTGTATCTCGTAGAGAGACGACGTATAAGAACGGCCATCACGTCATATCGCCGACTTGTCAGATGATAGACTTATCTGTAACAACACCAGGTACACTCAACTGAGCAATTTATAAAGACTCTTCTGTACTCAGCCAGAGACTTGAAGCTACACCAAGTACCAGATCTATCTCCCTCCCTCCCCCTCCCCCCCTCTCTCAGAAAATACAGTGAGATGGCGGCCCTAAAAATCGAGACAGAAGAAGCTCTTTGGCGGGTCATTCATACAACACCCATTATTGATCATCATGCCCACCCTCTTCTGAAGCTGAGTGCTATAAGAAAACATCCTCTCCTATGCATCGCTACCGAGGCCAACGGAGATGCCATTGAAGACTCAAAGACAAGTTTGGCACATCTTCGTGCTGTCAAAGTTCTTGCCAACCGCCTAGGCACCGACACAACTTGGGAAGCCGTCGAGGCTGCTGTCGCCAGAAAGCAAAAGGGAAACTATGATGAATGGATAAAGACGTGCATGTCAGGCATCGAAAATATCTTGGTCGATGATCTTCTGGGCGACCCGGCTGATGTTGAGCCTTACCACACGCTCAATGCATATACAAGAAGCCCCAACAAGCGCATCCTTCGAATCGAAGAGGTCGCAGCGAGCTGTATCGAGAAGGCCTGTGGTCAGTTTTCACACCCTTCAGAGGCATTCTCAGGATCTGTAGAGAATTTCATGAACGCCATCTATGATGCTCTCGATGACTCGGAAATTGTTGGCTTCAAATCTGTTATCTGCTACCGAACAGGCCTCGTCGTCACTCAAGTCACTGACCTCGAGATTATAATGCAACAGTTCCAGCTTATCTTTGACACCAGGAAAGAAGACGGTGCTCAGCCGTTTGAGAGACTTGACCATGAGCCACTCAACGATTACTTCCTGCACATTCTGGCGGGCTTGATCCAGAACAGTGAGGATGAGCACAAGAAACCTATCCAGTTCCACACTGGTCTTGGAGACAACGATATCACACTATCCAAGTCGTCGCCCGCACATCTACAGGAGTTCATCAAAACATACCCAGATGTGCCAATTGTTCTTCTACATGCCAGTTATCCTTTCACTCGTGAACTGGGATACTTGGCGAATGTTTACAGTAATGTCTACGCTGACATTGGCGAAGTATTCCCCTTTATCAGCCGCGAGGGACAAGAAGGTGTAGTCCGACATATCCTAGAACTCTGTCCAGTATCAAAGATTCTCTGGAGCACCGACGGACATTACTTCCCGGAGACTTACATCATAGCCGTGGATCAGCTCCGGGAGGTGCTGCAGACCGTGCTTGCGGATTATGTCCACAAGAGAGATATGACCTGGACACAGGCAGCTCAGTTGGTCCAAGACATCCTCTTCAACAACGCCAACAAGCTATATGATCTGAAGCTAGAATTCAAGCCATTGCCGCCAGACTCGAGTCAGGGTCTGGAGTCTTCTGAGCAAACGCATGTTGCGACACTGGCTAGATTCCTCAAGAATAAGGAAGAACCGAGATTTTTGCGGGTGACTTGGACTGACTTCATCGCAATGTCCCGGGCAAGAGCAATTCCTATGCGCCGCGTCTGGTCTATGCTGCGAAACGGCGAAGACTTTACACTGGGCGTGACAAAGGCTGGTCTTGGAATCGACCAGAGAGATTCGCCAGTGCCTAGTATCACACCAACAGGAGAGTATAGGTTGCACCCCGATCTGAGCAGCCTTCGAATTGGTCCTCGTAAGGGGCATATCAGTGTCATGGGTGACTTCAAAGAAAAGGACGGCACGCCAGCGCCCTTCTGTACACGCACCCTCCTAAAGAAGACACTCAAGCAGGCAGCTGAACAGGGACTCGAGTTCACGCTCGGATTTGAGATCGAGCTTGTGCTTTTCCGCCGCGGTAATGAGAACAGGTTCGAACCACTCGATAGCGATGGACACATGTGGTCGGTCACTCGGGCTCTGGACCATGAAGCGGTGATTGAGGTTCTTGAAGATGCCGTTGAACAGCTCGATGCTGCTGGTGTATATATTGAGTTGATGCACCCCGAGAGTGCCAATGGGCAGTACGAGTTTGTTCTGCCCAAGGCATCGGCGCTCGAGGCAGTTGACACGCTCCTCTACACCAGGGAAGTCATCAGCAGCTGCGCTGCAGCAAAGGGATACCGCATGACGCTTCATCCTAAGCCATATGCCATGTCTTGCGGAACAGCAGCGCATATGCACATGTCTATTTCATCACCTATCGGATCGGATAAGCAAGTCTACGAACCCTTCTACGCCGGCGTCCTGAAGCATCTCCGAGCCATTGCGGCGTTTACATACAGCAGCATGATCAGTTACGAACGTGTTGTAGACGGCTGCTGGGCCGGCGGGACTTGGGTAACATGGGGTACCCAGAACCGTGAAGTGCCACTACGTAAGATCGAGGGTAGTCATTGGGAGATCAAGTGTATCGATGGACTTGCTAATCCCTACTTATCGCTTGCGGCGATCCTATTAGCGGGCACAAAGGGCGTTGCTGACGAGGAAGAGCTGGTCTGGAAAGACTGTGCCAAGGACCCTGCATTGCTGTCTTCGGTAGAGAGAGAAGAGCTCAACATGGGTGCAAGGTTGCCCAGAAGCATACAAGAGGCGCTTGCGGCGCTGGGCGAAGACGAAGAGCTGACCAAACTACTTGGACCCGAAGTTGTTGAGAGATTCATCGATATCAAGAAGGCAGAGACAGCTATTCTGGAGGAGATGGGAGTGGATGAGCGGAGACAGTGGGTTATGGAGCGATACTGAAGCTGACTGACGATGAGGAGATGGATATTAGCTAGTAGACTGAAAACCTGGCATCTTCAGTAAGGCTTTATGTACGGAACAACGAGTATATCTTCCCCGTCAGCTGAAACATTTGATGGAAACATTTGATGCCTAGTGTTATGATGGTGACTCCGCTCGCAGCAATGGGGCACGAAGCTCTGAAAGTGATGTTCTAACATGGACAGGGCGTTCGCGAAACCCGATGTCCTGGGTACGGTACCAGGGATTATGCATGGAGCCCTTCTGATCAACACCAGCAATAGCAAATAGGCTACTCCGGTAACTTTGATGAAGATGAAACTAGCCTACGGCAGAGTGACATGACAGTTGGCTCAGTGGCAGTGGGGAGGTGGCTTGTTTGAGGGGTTTCTCTGTTGGAATGAGGCGCCCGACATACAGTCTAAGCATGCGAAACTAGGTAGATACTAAGCTG